CCTACACAGTCCTATTAAAGGAAAACACAAGAACATCTGTACAGACAGCTCATATAGCAGACTTATCTTCGGGGCGACGTTACCACACTCCTTTGTGCTTAAGCCCACTCTAGAGAAAAAAATGTGCCTCTCCTATAGAGCCTATGAACCCCCTAAAATTGGGACTTTGTATTTGTTTGAGCAGTAGAAAACAAATAAAGGAAAAACAGTTATCAAAATGAGTTTTCCAGAGTGTAAATTCATTAAGTCCTGAAACGCAGAGTACCAGAACATTAGAATGCCGTACTAATAAAAACTACCTACTCTAAGGTAACTAAATAAATGACAAGTGGGTGACAGTGGTCATAAGTTAAGGCAAAGTTGTGGATAGTCAGGCCCTGTCCCCACGAAGTCAGAATAACCACCTGAACACTAATATACCAAGACAAGGTGCTAATCAGGATTCAGCTGAAATGGGCACAGCCGGAACTATAAACAGCTTTGTTACATAATCCTTGGGGCTATATTAAAATCTCTTTGTATTTACAGTAATGACTAACAAAATACAGCAATGAAGCTATTTGAGCAATGAAGAGATTAAGATGGAACCCAACAGGATGCCAAGTTATCGTTCAGGACAAAGAAATAAGTGTCAAATAACAAACATGTTACGCTAGTTCATCCCTATTGGAGTGTTAAAAGCATGTATGTTGAGACACACACAAACAATACTGAAAGCCAAATCACAATAAGGAGAATTTGCTATACTCAGTTTCAGGATTTTGAAATGTGATTTTTACACAGGTGGGCAGAGGAAGACCTCCAAGAACAATCAAATCCATTTTTGCCTCTGAAGTTCCAAAAATTTGGATTCCCAAATCCTTAACCTTATTAAAACATACACTCCAAAACATTTTTGCACTCTTAAAATCTAGACCAAAAAGCAAGATACTGGATAATCTGACTGCTGCAGCTTATTTTTAGCATGTACTCATATTTACTTAAAAATTTTTGGAAAATGAAGACATTTCAAAATCTTTAAAAAGGATATAACCTATCAGATATTCCTCACCTAGTACTTGTTTTGGAGTTAGTAAATTCCCTGCTTGAAAAAAAAGATAAACTTGGATGTCAGAAGCTTCTCTAATGAAACATACAACACAATCTACAAAAGTATGCCTACATCAGTAATTCATAAGGGAGCTTTCTTTCCTGCCTATCAAATTTATATCTCTTGTCACAAGGTTCTTTTAGCTTTGTTTCAACAACACTCTCAAACCTGACTGCACTGTGCAAGCCAGAGCACGTACTACATTTTAAATGATATTTCAGAATTTCAGGTGTCATCTACTAGATCATTAACATGCAAGTCTCTCATAATTCAGGCATGAATTATATTATTAGAACAGACACTTGAGCCCATCGTGCTGGTTTTGTACTTAATTTGAGTTACATTAGGGTTCAGCTTAAGTCTCTCTCATTTTTCTCCATATAGAGAAGAAATAGGAGGTTTTTCATACCCTTAAGCCTCCATGTGAAAATACTCCCTAAAGACTGGAGTTGCAATGACCCAGAGCCAAACAGTTCACGTGAAAGAAATCAGTCCTGTTCTAGCCTCCCAAGTCCCCTTGCTCCCTCCTGTACTTACCCTAAGGCAGCTCTGGAGCACATCTCACTGCATGACAAGCCAATTCACTAAACCAAGAGAAAACTAACCAAGAATATTTTTGTACGTGTCAGGTCAGGCAAGACAAATCTGTTTATCTGGAGACAAAAGACCAGAACCAGAATAGGAAAGGAGGGAGAAGAAAGAGACTAGAAATAGGGAAGAAGAAATTGGAGTGAAACCTCCTGCCTTTTTGGTGAACCGTCAGTTCAGCACTATGCTATATGATGTTCTTTTCTGTATGCGCTAAACACTTCAATGATTAAATCTTACCCTTCCACCTTTTGTGCATGAGAAGTCTTCCCACCTCATCAACATGAAGCCTTTCCCTTTCCTCCAAATCATTTTGGGAACTAACGTCTCCTTATTTCAAATTCAGCTGTGAAATGAGGAGAGGTAGGACTGAGGGAAGCAGATGGAAGAAGGGGCAACGAAAACACGTCAAGCCAGTTTCCAAGAGCTCAGCCATTACAGTTCTGTACTGCTGAAGGGGAACATCTTGCTCCAGCTATAAAGATGACCTTTTCCAGGAAGAGGAGTGGAAAAGAACTAAAAAAATATAACCTGCACATCCCTGGGAAGCAAAAAAGGATAAAAAGACTGCATCCTTCCCATAAACGATGCTTTCACTGTATCAGGTGATTTGGAAGTAGGTAGGAGAATTGAGCCAAACTATTACCTCTGCTGTTACTTTCAGGATAGGGAATGACTGGTTTCCGTGGGGAGCGCAGCAAATCAGAATTAATAAATGGCTTGTACTTTGGATAATCTATAAACGAAGTTGCAGAGAGTCCATCTGTGGCCGATGCAGATTTATAAATTTTGCGTAGATCACTCTGAAAACAAAACAAAGTTGTTACTCGGCACATTTATTTCTCCATCACAACAAACAAGTAGAATCAGATTAAGTGATGGGTAGAAACACCACTGTAGGAGATTGTACTAGCATAAAGGCAATATTCCCTTCCTCACAGCCCAGGCCTGTGTCATTTTTGAATCTCCGTTCCCCCTTAAAAATAGTATCAAAAAAGTATTTTTTTAATGCTCCTTTCCAATTTCCAGTTCTGTTTTGTACTTACTTATACCCTCTCTTGCTTATTAAGAGGGCAATACACCAGTAAAGCGGAAAACAGCCTTGTTCTTAACTGACAAATCAGAGTCTTTGTTGCACCAGGGTGCAAGAAATCACCAGGGTGACCAAACCTGATAAAGCGTACCTGAGACCACAACTCTGCATATCCTGATCGAATGCAGTAACAGTCCATAGACCATAAAAGGGGAAAAGGAACGCATTCTCTTCACCTCACTCCCCCAGCCACATAGTCCCAATCCCTCTTATACACTGGCTATAGTTTCATCTTTCATATCCTCCCACAAATAGATTGAACTTCACCAGCAGAAATACCTGACCATCTTTATGCCAGATTTGATCAGTGCAACCTGCACAAGATAAGCCACAAAAGATCACAGCCAGAAAGGGAGGGACCTCTGCCTCTGAGCACCAACGTGCTGTTAGGTCAGCGCGTTAAGACTGTTCTCACAAACGTAGCTGCAGGGACCACAGATTTCGCAGCTGTCTCCATCTGCTTTCCAAAAGTCTGCTAAGTTTTGGATGATGTGATGGTCAGAAGGAGCCACATGGTACTGAAAATGCTATGCATTAGGGCTACAATTAAGTTGTACTTTCTCACCAGGTTCTTCTGAGGAAAAGGACAAAGCATTTTGTGTACTCTGCTCGTGGTTTTGACTCAAACTGGCTACCTGGCCGAAGCTTTTTGATTTACGCATACGTCTTAAATAAAATGCAGGTGCTTATTTTTAACCTGCTAAAGTCACTTCTGTTTCAACTGCACCCACCGCTACAACATTTCAGTAAAAGAATTTAAAGGTAGCCTAAGACAAAAGCAGGCAGATACAATATTCTGACTCCTACGGCTTAGCACAGAAGGTTTGCTCCACAAATACAACAAGAAAGAAATTACTAATGTTGCCAGGGTATTTTAAGTTTTTGCAAATATCAATTATTGGGAGCATATTTAAATTAAAATACTAGAAACTAAGTTAAGAATTAAGAAACCATTTATGCTACTGTCTGCTACTGTCTCACAGTAAGTTAGACAACAGCTCAAACTGCATTGAGAGAAAGAAAAATAAGAGGAAAAGAAAAGTCTCAGTCAGTCATATGTTATTTAAAACCTATACGCAGCTAACTTCACGTTAAAAACAAAATGATTCATTGCGGATGAGAAAAATCAAGACTCTAAGTGCCCTGAGTATTTCAGTGTTTCTACACACAGCTTTATCTGCAAAGGAATTCCTTGCAGTTCACGTTTATAACATTTTCCTAAACAACATAAGCACTTTTCTTGGTATAATTGAATTTGTACAAGAGCTTTTGCCACCACAGAAAGCCAACAGAAATACTCATCCCTAATTAAGAATATATTTACAAAAATATTTTGAATAGTTTTTTGCGCACATGCATATACACTCTCTGTTTTATGCCCCAGCAGCCATATGATCTAACTTTGTAAAACGTTTAGTGCTAAAATTACAGGAAAGTCTGCTGGCAGCGAGATTAGATCCCACTCCTGCAAAAATACCATCAATGTCACAGGATGTTAAATTGCTACAAGCAGAATAATGAGTAAGATCAAACAACAAAACACAGAATTTATGCATCAGGCAGAGAGTAACAGCAGCCGCCAACGTAAGCCTCATCAGCCCAAAAAGGCAGAAAGTAGTTTTATCTATTGTTGAATCACAAGAAGCTATCCCATGAGCCAGTGGAAGAAAAGGTGCATTGGTTTTAAATCAAAGTAGGGCTGTCAGACATCTGAACTCTCCTAGATGTCTTCATTTTTCAGCTGTAAAGTTTTGTCTGTGCAGAACTAAAAATAATTACACTAAAAAAAAAATTGCTTTCTTCACTGGCTTAAGGGACACCTACTTAGGCAATAACGGACTAACTGAAAGGAAAAGCTAGCATACTTAAACATCAAGTTGCAAAGTTGCATTTCTCCAAAATACCACCTGAATACATTATGCATTAAAATTACGCATTAAAATTAATTTATCTTTGAATACTATAATACTCATTGCAGACATATGCTTGAAATAAATACTTAAAAATTCATGCTGAAATAATATCCATATTATCGTTTAGACTGAAAGAAGGAATGATTGTCTAAAGAATCACATTAACAAGTATATTTTCTGTACACAATTGAGCACAAGACCATTTTATATTCCGTTTCACATATAAAAATGACTTCTAAACACACCTGAGCTGAAAAGTTTGAGAAAGCTTATGAAACGGCAGCAAGGAACTCAACACCACAAATTTCAGATTGCAATGTAATTCCCTGCTCTTCTCCTCCTCCCCGTTCTCCCAAGTCATTAAAAATTATTTTTAAGTCAGTTTTCTGCTCTTGGAAATTCTCATGGGGATCACCATATTGCGCATATTTTGGGAAAATCCTGAAACAGACGAAAAAAAAAGTGTGACAATCAGGTAACTCTTTGTTCTTAATTATGAGCAGGCCATATCTGATGACTACACCTTATCCCCTCTTTTCGATACTCTATCTTCTTTCCATCCTTAAACCACACAGAAGCCTCATAACAACAAGCAAAGCAGCTTAGCAGTCCCACAGCAGCTAAGTGCAACAGTATTATGCTATGGTGGAGAACTGAACATATTTTAACCTTTACATATCTGAGGACATCATCTTCCAAAATTTATTTGTGCAGTCATTTCATATCGGCTGTCTGCTCAAGTACACAAGAAAGTATATTTAAGATGCAGACTAATAATAGCTTAATATACTAAGGTATATTAACCTTAGGAAACGGTGACCTCTTAAAGCTACCCAAGACTAAATGCAAAGGTCCAGAACATCAGAAAAGTTTTAACATAGGAACTAGCAACTAATGGCAGAAGTACACTTTTCAAATCAAGCACTTTTCGATGGAAAGGATAGTATGGCACACCAGCCATGAACAACCATCCAGACAACTATGAATCTTATTATACCAAATGCTTTAGAGTCCTATCACACTCAAGATTTCCCTGAAACAGCATGTCCATACTAAATGGTCTCAGGGAGGGAAAAAAAGCACCTGATGTTTTGTTTTTTTTTTCCCTCCTCACCATAATTTGACTAGATGTGGGGAGAGTAAAAATAGCAATGATTTATATACAAACTATAGAACCAAAGCAGCAGAAAAACACAGGAAGGTTCTGTCAGGCAATAACTGCAACAAGAAAGCATGAAGGCACCAAGATGGTGCCATTGGTACTAGCAGTTTGGCACTGGACAAAGGGAATAAGTCAGAGAAGGTGCTATTTTACAAGTTCTTATACATACATATATATACATATGTGTATATATATTCTATGAAAATATTTTAAAAGGTAATCGTCTGAAGCCGGATCATGCTTTCAATAACATCCTGTAGTCCTCATGTTTGATTAAAAAAAAAAAAAAAGAGCAGAAATGGGTGAAAATTATGCAGTTACTGAAGATTTCAGAACAGCCACTTGGGAGAGAATCTCTCAAGATCTAGTCTGCCATCTTCCCTCATTATTGGGGAAGGGGAGGGTGGAATAGACCCTGCCACTCAAAAACTAACTTAAGTGCTGTCTGTGCCCGAATGATACACAACTGAGTTAGGAACATTCTCAATTTAAACAAGATCTCTAGCTTAAAAAAAAAAAAAAAAAAAAAACTTGGTCAAGCCCTTACAGCAAAAAAGAAAAAATGTTAGCATGAGACAGTTTTTTTTTTTTAATTATTATTTTCTGCTGTAGGGTGTGGTAAAAGTCTGAACTTCATACTGATTTTAATAAAGTGAGAAGTCTGCTTTTCTTCTTTTTTGGGTCTTTCACTGTTTACCTTCTGCGTGAGCAGATATGAAAAATATTCAGTGGAAAATTTTTTTTCCTAAAAGCTTTGTTTTACTACTGTTCATTAACTTGAGGCTAAAACCCATTTTCTGACATCCTTCTCAATGCATCCTAGAAAAATACTAGTCAGGAAGGATATAGGAACCCTCACAACACTCTGTCACCTCTCTTAATACTGCAGGTGTACATCGCAGAACCACACTGCAGGAGGAGAAGGAGAAAGAGAAGAACAACCGAAAACCCTGAGCTGGGCTAGTTTTATCAAGCAGCTGATACTACTGAGACCCCAAATCAAGAATGCTCACAAGAAATACGTTTCCTACCACCATGCTGCATCTTTTTGCACCATCGCTGCACTTCCAAGTTGCTTACTCATAAGACACTGCTACTTGCAAAAGGATCCAACTTCGGAGAGCTATAAACATCAGACCGAGATGTCAGATGAGAAACCCAAATTGAAACTTCTGTTCCATGGTCTCTAGTTGCTTCCAGGCAGCCTCCACCCAGTTCAGCAAGCTCAACTATGCTAACTCTAGTCAAGCCTCAGTTTCTTCATACTGCTTTTCACAAAGCAGAGACACTAGTCTCATTTCTTCTCTAAGCACTGCACCTCAAGAAGAGCATAAAGAGTAATTTCTAGTGCCTTGCTTCTACTTACCTCTGCATTACTTCTGCATTAGCCAGGTTCTTATATACATTCCTAAGGATGTGGTTACTTACCAAAACTAAATTGAGGTTTAGGCTAAGGTTTGGAGAGCATGCAGTAGACACACTACCAGCTCTCAAAAGGAACCGCTTGCAACCGGTTACAATTAAAACATAAGTGCATGATCAAACATCGTGGAATTTTAGTGCCGAGCTGAGTCTCATCACATTTTGAAATAGGTGTTTCCAAAGTCATGTCCCCAGAACTGGTTCTGGAAACAGACTGTATTACCAAGTTTCATTCCCATGCATTCACTTACAAATCTACTCTTTGAATGCTCCTCCAGGGAAAAGGCCGCTTTTAAATAGCAGAGTATTTTTTCCCTTTCCTGATCCTCTTATAAGAGATGGGTACAGAATCATACTATGATTTTTTGATGTATATACACAGGACTTAAAAGACAGTTTCCACAGTCCACTTCGCTCCTGAAGCTCTGAGCCTGAACTCGAGGCTTGACCCTGAGCAACTATAACTCCCCGCCGCCTAATCGCGGTTCGCCCCGCGCTCACCGAAGAGCACGCCCC